TGACAGACACGGGACTATTGACAGAGGAGGACCTATATTGACAGACACGTGACTATTGACAGAGCAGAACCTATAATGACAGACACGGGACTATTGACAGAGCATGGCGTATAATGACAGACACGGAACTATTGGCAGAGCAGGATCTATAATGACAGACACGGGACTATTGACAGAGCAGGACCTATAATGACAGACACGGGACTATTGACAGAGCAGGACCTATAATTACAGACATGGGACTATTGACAGTGCAGGACCTATAATGATTGACATGGGACTATTGACAGAGGACCTATAATTACAGTCACGGGACTATTGACAGAGGAGGACCTATAATGACAGACACGTGACTATTGACAGAGCAGGACCTATAATGACAGACACGGGACTATTGATAGAACAGGACCTATAATGACAGACACGGGACTATTGACAGAGCAGGACCTATAATGACAGACACGGGCCTATTGACAGAGGAGGACCTACAATGACAAATACGGGACTATTGACAGAGAAGGACCTATAATGACAGACACGGGAACTATTGACATAACAGGACCTATAATGACAGACACGGGACTATTGACAGAGCATGGCGTATAATGACAGACACGGGACTATTGGCAGAGCAGGATCTATAATGACAGACACGGGACTATTGACAGAGGAGGACCTATATTGACAGACACGTGACTATTGACAGAGCAGGACCTATAATGACAGACACGGGACTATTGACAGAGCATGACGTATAATGACAGACACGGGACTATTGGCAGAGCAGGATCTATAATGACAGACACGGAACTATTGACAGAGCAGGATCTATAATGACAGACACGTGACTATTGCCAGAGCAGGGCCTATATTTACAGACATGGGACTATTGCCAGTGCAGGACATATAATGACAGACACGGGACTGTTGACAGAGCAGGACCTATAATGACAGGCATGGGCCTATTGACAGAGAAGGACCTATAATGACAGACACGGGGACTATTGACAGAGCAGGGCCTATAATGACAGGCATGGGCCTATTGACATAACAGGACCTATAATGACAGACACGGGACTATTGACAGAGCATGACGTATAATGACAGACACGGGACTATTGGCAGAGCAGGATCTATAATGACAGACACGTGACTATTGACAGAGCAGGACCTATAATGACAGACACGGGACTATTGACAGAGCATGGCGTATAATGACAGACACGGGACTATTGACAGAGCAGGGCCTATAATGACAGGCATGGGCCTATTGACAGAGCAGGGCCTATAATGACAGGCATGGGCCTATTGACAGAGCAGGGCCTATAATGACAGGCATGGGCCTATTGACAGAGCAGGGCCTGGATCTCAAAGAGAGACCTTAGTTTCATGATTTCTCACTTTCGTGACAGACCTCAATCACATTATAGACTTCGGCCTAACCACAAACTTCTGTCTCATGACAGAGATCACTTTAATGACGGACTTCAAGTTAATGGCAGAAGTCAGCTTCATGACAAACTTCAGTCTCATAACAGATTTTGGTCTAATTACAGAACCTAACTAACTACAGACATTTAAATACTTAAAGACTTTATTTGAGTTAAGTAAGCTTATATCTGATATGACTTGATTGATGCGTTTTTGGCTTACAAGACTCCTAAATGACTCAATACAGAAAATAAATTGAATGATACAATCAAACAGTATTCACATTTACTTGTCACTGCTGACTCTGTTAACTATAAGGGCTGATTGATAAGTTGTGCGCTTTATATTTATGGGTTTGACTTTTGGTGGACATATTGCACTTTTGCCAGCAACTTTAAATGCCTCAATGCCACTTTTAAAGAAGTCATATTCATGACCGTTCAGAGAGTCCTTTACTGCATGTATGACGTCATCATCTGAACGAAAGTGGGTACCTGTTATGGTCTTTTTCAATTTTAGAAATAAATGAAAGTGTTATGGAGTAGGATCAGGCGAATAAGGCGGATGCTCAATCAATTCAAAGACACAATCGTTAATTGCGGCCATGACATTGTCCCGGTGAAACAAAACACCTTTATTGAGTTTTCCGCGGCGCTTGCGTGTAATATTTTCTCTTAACTGCCTAAGAATTGATACATAGCGTGTCATTTTCGTTTGTCCCTTCTGTAGATAATATACAATTAGAATACCATCAGCATCCCAAGATAAACCGAGACCATAACCTTTTCAGCTGATGGAACAGTCTTTTCCTTCTTTGGCAGAGTGAACCAGTGTGCTTCCATTGTTTAGAATGTTGTTTGGCCTCTGGAGTGAAATGATGGACCCATGTTTCATCCATAGTCACAAAGATTTGCAAAATTGTTAGCACGATCTACCATAAAGTTCGTCTGTTGTGCTTACACAACGGGGTGGGAGCTTTCTCATTGCAAAATCTCCCGTAAGAACGGAAAGTACTTTTTCCTATGGAATCCCAACTGTACTGGTATATCTCTCTGTAAGTAGACTGTCAGTCATAACAATAGCATAGACTTCATTGACCATTTCTGGGGTTGCAACAGTGACAGGCCTTCAAGGACGGGCGTCATCATCAATGCTCTGCCTGCCACGCTTAAATTCCGCCACCCAACATTTCACTGCAGTATATGAAGGGACATCATTCCCTAGGCCAAAAAAAAAGAGATGAATTTCTGCTCTTTCAGCGATTTTGTTCGTTTTGCATAAGTCACTTGTCTTGTTCACATTAGAACGATACCTCTTCGACATAAACTAACCAAATTGCACGAGGCTTCTGTTACACATCTTTAAAAGGTCAGGAAATAATAGAGCTAAAAAAAGGACATCCTTGCTTAACTTCTTCAATACAAAGCTAACAAATTATCAATCAGCTCTCATAAGGCCAATAATTTTAATTTTATGCCAAATGTGCTTGGTCTCGGAAGGTTAATTCTATGACGTAGAATTGATAGAGAACTCCATTATCATATATATGTATAATCATATACATATAATTCATTATTCTAAAACAAATCTTTATCTTCAATTTATTGCTTGTCGTTTTGACATAAATGTAAAAATGGGTCTTAGAGTTAAAATCTCCAGTAAATATATTATATGCCAATTTTTAACAAAATTAATAATTTCATTCTCAATATCAATCAATGCTTCATTAGAAGTGCATTTTGGTGTTTCTAGCGGTACATTCACACATCCTAATAATAGATGGTTACAAGTATATATCACTACCTACTGGACAAACGCTGGTGAAGTTTCAGTTACTAATAATGACCTCAATTAAAGAATTATGATTATTCAACTTGAACATGGTCCATTTCTTGTTATATACTGAAAACCATTAGCATCATAAATATAATGTTTCGGGTTTAAAAGATTAAAAGACGACATTGAAGTTTCGGGTCGAAAAGACGAAAATTTAGGTTTCTTAATTCTCGTCTTTTCTGGGCAAGAAGACAAGATTTTTTAATCTGAAAAAAGAATTAAGACATACAAAACTGTTTAGCTCAACAAGGTTGTTTAAAGTTAACTAATAGAGGATCAAAGTTGGATATGGTTTTCAACCCTGTATCCTTGGCAGCCTTTAACAAATTCTCTCCCATTCTCTGTCTAATTTTCTGATGTGTGTAGTACCCGACTCCGTGTACCTCGCCCCGTAAACCTTTTTAACTCTGGCGTATTGCTCAAAGTATTGTTGAGATTCCGGAGATGTAACATTCTGTTGATCCTCAAGAACATATTTGTTTTGTTAAATCGTTCGTTCATCATTAGCAGCGTGTGGTAAAACGCTCACCACATCCGCACACGTTTCTCAGGACAGTTCCTATGACAGCTAGGTGGGTTGTTAGCATTTCTCAAACACCTTATTTCACTTACTACAGAAACTGACGGGTGAAAGGTGCTTCTTCTGTGTATATGTACTTAATTCTATCAAACCATATCGACCAACATTTACTGAAAAAAAAGTTGATTTAGTGCCATTTTGACGAAAACGAAAATTTCTTGAATGATGATGATCACGATGGCGGTGGTGACGACGACGACGACGACGACGACGACGACGACGACGATGATGATGATGATGATGATGATGATGATGATGATGATGATGATGATGATGATGATGGCGGTGGTGACGACGACGACGACGACGACGAAGAAGAAGAAGAAGAAGAAGAAGAAGAAGAAGAAGATGATGATGATGATGATGATGATGATGATGATGATGATGATGATGATGATGATGATGGCGGTGGTGATGACGACGATGATGATGTATGTTGTAACTTTATAAGAGAGAAGGAACAATAACCATAAATTCCTTTATTGTATGATTATCTTATCAGCTACATTGGCTTAACGTGGGGAAATGCATGTCTGTGTTGTATAATATTTTTTATTTATTAAATGCACCATCTTGATATTTCCCATCCCGTGCATGTAATTTTGATCAATATAAAAAAACATTTGAGATATAATTTTGAACAACAACAGCAACAACAATAAAAATATCCTTAAATTGATTTCATTGAATATTTATGTTTCACTTATTTGACCTACGATCAAACCCTTGATTGATTGACTGATTTATTTATCAATTGATTGATTGTTCTTAAATATTTGTGTTGTCTATTTTTCCATTGATAACTAGTTTGTACTCTGTTGACGTTATTTTTAAGTCTGAATAAAAATACAACCTCTAATTCATTTTTTCTTCAATGTGTTCCACTGTCAATAGCTTATCTGATTACCAAAAGTTGCCGGTAAGTGCATATGACGGAACAAGCCTTCACAATACAACCAGGCTTGTTTTCTACTCCTTTTCTTACCTGTACTGAATGTTACCTGTTCGGAATATTTGAAGGAATTTGATTGGTTGTTCTCGGTCATGTGACTTTAGCCCGTCACGACGCCATATTTGTAGGATCTTTGACACTTTTACAGGTGGAACTTAGGTACATTCTAGTAGAAAGTTTGGGCAACTTGTAATCTACAAAATGAGCGAAAGTGAAAGGAAACCTCGTCTGTGTCATCTAGTGAAATGGCCAGAATTTTCAGGCTATGGTTTCAACTTGCACGCTGAGCGGGGCAAAGCGGGTCAGTACATCGGAAAAGTCGACGAAGGTTCGCCGGCGGTGGCTGCAGGGTTGAAAGAGTCCGACCGCATAGTTGAAGTTAATGGGGTAAACATTGGAAACGAGAATCACCAGCAGGTGGTGTCAAGGATCAAAGCTGGTGGTGAAGAGGTTACTCTACTCGTCGTGGATGCTGAAACTGACAGTTATTACAAAGAAAACCGCATTCTGGTGACAAGTACAGACGAAGATATATTAAAGTTTTCGGCAGCCCGCGACGAGCCACGCCCGGCAGAAACTGAAAGCACCCCACTAGGTAAATATTCCCCATTACACCAAACCGCCCCTGTGTACCAGAGTTGTAAAAAGAGACTCGGTATTGTTGGTGCCACACCCCTGACATGCGTGGGAGATCTGTGGCTATGGTCCTATTTAGTGACATTATCTATGCCACACCCCCCAACTGCTGACCTAGAAAGCATAACTAGTATTGTTTACATAGTGTATAAAGGAATTAGGTATATGCAATATCTACGTTTGTTATCAGCACACATAATTTATTCAGCATCTTGAAAACGAAAGGTTTACGGCAGTGAATGTTTTGGCCTTGTGTTACAGTTTAAGATAGACTGCATTGGTAGGTTAAAAAAATGTTCCCCAAAAGAGAGAGAGAGAGAAAAGAAATATCTCCCTAATTTGAATCGAAAATGAAGTTGAGAATATTTTCACAATTTATAGAGACATGAGTAGTTGTGAAATTAATGTAAACAATGTGATTTACAATTTTATAACAATTTTTTATAATACATGTACTTAATTGATAAATATATAATTATTCAGTAGCTACACACCTATTTACTTTAGTCCAGATATTGTCAGATTTTGAAAAAGATGTATACATGTATCAGTTTGGAATTTGCTATTGCATATCAATGTTATGTGTACATTAGTGATTAATTTTGACTCTTAATAATTTTATATTTTTGTAATTATATATACATTTAAATCACAGGAATTTGACTTGGCATGTGTATGAATTAAAGAGGTAAAATTTTTAAACTTTAGCAGTTTTCAGCATTCATATCTGCGTAATATGTATATCAAATATGAATTTTGAAAAAGATCTTTTCCAACATCAAAGATATTAACCGTGCAAATTATCAGGCTTGAGTTATATGTCAAATATTTCTGGGAGTGTTGCTTTCAATTTGAAAAAAATAATTTCACATCCCACAAAACTTCAAATATACACCTTGACAGTCACATATTTGAAAAGATAGCCAATTCATTACCAGAATTCCTCTCTCTCTCTGATGTACTTGTGGTTCAAAAAGATTGGTTAGGGAAATTTAAATCGAAGTTATGAAACTACGGCTGTGTAAGTATCAAATTGGGAATGGGTCAGATCACAGAACCATATGACTACATTGAACACTCCTTGATCCTAACAGATGCTCTTCCTGTATCCTTTCTGTTAATTTAAAAGTTATAAACAGCTGGTACACATTAAGTGGGTTTTTTAAAAGTTTACTTAAAAATTTGAAATTTTATAGAGAATTCACAGTTACATTTTGTTACTAGCTATATTTGAATTAAGTGCAGCCATAAAGCTGTGCACAGAATTTTTTTTTTTTTGGAATGAAGTAAACAATTTGTCATCTTTACTTATTAACATATTCATGCAAAGTATACATTGTGACAAGTTCCTAAATTGGTGATGTCACAATATTTACGTACAGCCATGTTGATGAACAGGTTGACAAGAGTCGTATACTCCTATCTCACATCTGATTTTCGTTATTACAGTTAACATACAATACTTTTGCATAAATGCATATAAGTGGTATGTGTTTAATTTTCATCATCACCAATGTTTGAAGTATTTTCATTTCCTATCTAAGAGCCCAGTAGTGAGTAATTTCATGTACAGCAGTTGGTTGTTGTATAGAAGAATTTATATATTTGTTGTATAGATGCAGCATTCCATGCCCTTTTAAAGCGAATTTTAGAAGATTTCTATGGTTGAATACACGTAATACTTTGGCAGTGTCATAAATGAGTGTATGATTAACACAAGAGTTTCATTCGTATTGAGTGACATCAACATTGATGCCATTTTTTTTCAAAGGTGAAACTATGTATCATATATGGAAAGGGAGACTTTTTTGTCATTATCTTTAGTAGACATAAGTCCAACAATCTGAATTCTGGTGTCCATCTGAGTAACTTCAATGATAAATGATCAAAATACCACATTTTTCATGTAAATATTGCTGTAACCTGCCCCATTGCTTGGTTTAATTGTCTTTTAAAGATCAAATCAGGAACATTATTCAGATGGACAGTACTTTTTGAATGGTTAAGACTATGCTGTTTCTAGTAGTATAAATGTGGTATTACATATAAGTCATTTAGAGGTTGTACTTTTTGAAATGTGATTTGATTTCCTTTTTTTCCCCGACTGCCTACATTTTTAGGTGATCATACTCCTGTTTGTAAATTGATAACAGCTATAAACAGTGTTTGTTTTTGAAGTGATAGTCCTAATAATAACCACAGTATGATGATTATTAAGTGTGAGTGTGTATAGTGATCACCTGAGGGTGCAGACAGACAAACACCCGGGCACCCCATGGCCCCTTACCTGTGACACGAGCCTCATACTTGAGGCGATAGCAGGTGGGGAGATAAACACTCCCCTTTGTGTATATAATGAAGTCAGTGCCAAGGTGTTTGGGTGGGTAGGGCTTGACCTGTCCATGACTGGCGATTTTAATCATTTGGGCAGTATTCTGGCAATTTCGCACTTTTGCCAATGCAGTTTCTAAATTGTTGACACTGTCTGTTGGAAATTTCAGCTGCTGGGTTTGATTTTTACTGGGGTCACTGATTTTGTGAAACTCAGAAAGCATTAACCACAGACCATTTGGTATTATTGTGATTGAGCATGACATTTACCTGAATTACTGTGGGAGCTCCGCCTTGGCCTCCCACATTATGTTCAGTGAGGTAGCCACCTGCCACTTCAAGGAGACCTTTCTCAAAATGACTGAATTGTTGATGTGACATCATTGACCTGTTTCCACTCAAGGCCAAGACATTGAAATCTGGTACTGACATAACTCTATACAAGGTTAAGATATCCCTGTCTGCAGAACAGGATCATATTTGGTTATATTTCTTGCATACTTACAAACATAATCATGATATTTCAAATTTTTTGTCGTGCAATGTATATAAACATAGATACATCATAAATGGCCGATCAAATATTTATGTGAAATTGATGACATTATCAAAATCTTCCTATTCTTATGGGACTCGCCTAAATTTTGAAGACTCACTATATCTCAAAGTGATTGGGCTTTCCAAAATTTTTGAAATAGTTTTCTTAACTCATCTAATAAAATCCCACTAAAGTCAATGGCAAAGTTCATTACCTTCACATACACAAATAGATCATTGTGCATTGTCAGGATCTATGGTCAGTAAATGACCATTCTGTATACCAGTGGCCATTAGGTAGACAATTGGCTTGAATATATAATCATGAAGCCACTTTAGGGATGGTCCCACTAAGAAGCAAAAGTTATTTATAGCTCATGACCACATTTGAAGGACATTGAGTTAGTTCATTCAATGGAGCAATATATATGCATTGAATTTTCAAATATTATCCATTAGTGGTTATTAAACAAGTCATCCCATGTCATAATTTTAGGACTAATGGTTATATGACACTAGCAGTACAGTGTCTACAGAACCCTGACCATGTATGTCTAAATTTCTTGACTTAATTAAGTGAATTAAATTTTTTTTCTTAGGTTTCTGGACAACTCAACGTCTTGTTTATGATTTATTATGAATAATCATTGGCCATCATTGAGTTTTCATAAAACCTGCAATTGGCTGGAGCACTTTTATGTTTCCTCAAATCTGAATTAACATCAAATGTTTTCATTATTTTCTGTAGTGTTTTCTGATTTAACATCATAATTTTGAAAAATGAAATAATTTTGGCACAAAGAATCTTACTACAATCTGCAGTGAAGCAGGCAACATATTTACCAGTCTATAAGAATTGTGTGTATATACACATTAATGTAGATTGATAAACATAACCAGAGACAGTAATTAATTACCAGACAAATTACAGGTTGTATACCCAAACCCTATCAGGTAACACTCAGTCCCCAGTTAGTACTTAGTGACCAGGTAAAAATGATTATGTTGTAGTTAATAATTGACACCTGGAATTATTGACCAGTCTGGCTACCTAAAGGTGGAGACAGCAGTTTCTTTACACTTCCAGGAACACAAGTATTTTAAGATACAATGACTTTGCTTTTTGCTAAATTAGAAAAACCATGATAGATAGAGATGAATGATATATCACCACTGTGATATATATATATCTTATATATTCTGTGTATTGCAATATTGAGGTGGATGGATTGGAGTGGAGGTGTGTTTTTGTTGTGTTTGTTAGGGGGAGGTGGGGGGCATCTTGATCTCCATGACAAGGAAATGTGTGCATGCATGTTTTTTCAAAGGACTGTCCCATGAAAATGCATAAGATGACATAAGACTATCCAATGAAAATGCATCAGATGACATAAGACTATTCAATGAAAATGCTAAAGATGATATAGGACTCTCCCATGAAAATACATTAGGTGACATCAGACTATCCAATGAAAACGCATAAGATGACATAGGACTATCCAATGAAAATGCATAAGATGACATAAGACTATCCAATGAAAATGCATAAGATGACATAAAACTATCTAATGAAAATGCGTGAGATGATATAGGACTATCCAATGAAAATGCATAAGATGACATAAAACTATCCAATGAAAATGCTTAAGATGACAAAGACTATCCAATGAAAATGCATAAGATGACATAAAACTATCCAATGAAAATGCTTAAGATGACATAAGACTATCCAATGAAAATGCATTAGATGACATAAGACTATCCAATGAAAATGCGTGAGATGATATAGGACTATCCAATGAAAATGCATAAGATGACATAAAACTATCCAATGAAAATGCTTAAGATGACAAAGACTATCCAATGAAAATGCATAAGATGACAAAGACTATCCAATGAAAATGCATAAGATGACAAAGTCTATCCAATGAAAATGCATAAGATGACATAAGACTATCCAATGAAAATGCATAAGATGACATAAGACTATCCAATGAAAATGCATTAGGTGACATCAGACTATCCAATGAAAATGCATTAGATGACATAAGACTATCCAATGAAAATGCGTGAGATGATATAGGACTATCCAATGAAAATGCATAAGATGACATAAAACTATCCAATGAAAATGCTTAAGATGACAAAGACTATCCAATGAAAATGCATAAGATGACATAAAACTATCCAATGAAAATGCTTAAGATGACATAAGACTATCCAATGAAAATGCATTAGATGACATAAGACTATCCAATGAAAATGCGTGAGATGATATAGGACTATCCAATGAAAATGCATAAGATGACATAAAACTATCCAATGAAAATGCTTAAGATGACAAAGACTATCCAATGAAAATGCATAAGATGACATAAAACTATCCAATGAAAATGCTTAAGATGACAAAGACAATACAATGAAAATGCATAAGATGACAAAGACTATCCAATGAAAATGCATAAGATGACAAAGACTATCCAATGAAAATGCATAAGATGACATAAGACTATTCAATGAAAATGCTTAAGATGACATAAGACTATCCAATGAAAATGCTTAAGATGACAAAGACTATCCAATGAAAATGCATAAGATGACATAAAACTATCCAATGAAAATGCTTAAGATGACAAAGACTATCCAATGAAAATGCATAAGATGACATAAGACTATTCAATGAAAATGCATAAGATGACATAAGACTATCCAATGAAAATGCATAAGATGACATAAGACTATCCAATGAAAATGCATAAGATGACATAAAACTATCCAATGAAAATGCTTAAGATGACAAAGACTATCCAATGAAAATGCATAAGATGACATAAAACTATCCAATGAAAATGCATAAGATGACATAAGACTATCCAATGAAAATGCATAAGATGACATAAGACTATCCAATGAAAATGCATAAGATGACATAAGACTATTCAATGAAAATGCATAAGATGACATAAGACTATCCAATGAAAATGCATAAGATGACATAAGACTATCCAATGAAAATGCATAAGATGACATAAGACTATTCAATGAAAATGCATAAGATGACATAAGACTATCCAATGAAAATGCATAAGATGACATAAGACTATCCAATGAAAATGCATAAGATGACATAAGACTATTCAATGAAAATGCTAAAGATGATATAGGACTCTCCCATGAAAATGCATTAGGTGACATCAGACTATCCAATGAAAATGCATTAGATGACATAAGACTATCCAATGAAAATGCATAAGATGACATAAGACTATCCAATGAAAATGCATGAGATGATATAGGACTATCCAATGAAAATGCTTAAGATGATGTAGAGATCTTGGGAACATAAGTAAGCTTTGGTCATAAAAAGGGTGTCACTGTTATCACGGATGATTGGACATGAATATTAAGTGCTCTAGACCACTTTCGAAAAGAGAGCTGTTACATTTGTACATATCTACATGGCAGGTACTTAAGCCTTGTTGGTCAATACACCTACTTAATATATATATGTACTGGTTGTATTGACAGATGCTTTGTTTAAATAAAGTTTAGTTTGGTCTCTGAAAACATTAGCAAGTCAACTTCCAGCAGAAAGATACCCGAGTCAAGGACTTAGTTAAACTTTTGTGTTTGTGTGTTACACGTATGATACCTGTAATATAATATAATACATCTCGTATATAGATCATACATTTTATAGCTATTTAGTCATAGTTAAATATACACGTGAGACAGACATCAACATCAAATAATAAGAAATAAAGTGCCCAACTGAAATATTACAGATAAAGTGCAAGGTGACAAGTGGTTTAGGTTGGTTGTGTATTTACATTTATCTTTGATGTGTTAATCACAGTTTATGCATACTATACAACATGCCATCTCTATTTTTGACTTGTACATGTACAATCTGTAATTATTCAAATCAAAATTGTGATCATGCATTAATAACACCCTGTGGGCTTCTTGTTTATTTGGTATGGTGTATTATATCTGTGTGGGCCAGTTAACATTCCTGTATTTAAGTGTGATATATGTACAGGCATGCATGTGGGCAGGATATGGTGTTGGGCGGGACAAGTCACACATGTATAATAGACATTTGTGTGCGGATGTGAGAGTGATGGGTGACAGGTAGAGAAGGAGTGTCCTTCTGCAGGTAGATTTTATCACTGAGCAGACACCTTCAGGACACTCACCAAGATCGACGTTTCTTCTAATGGAGCCGCAAATTATCAAAGGTACCATAATAATTGCAGCGTATATATGTAACTCGGATATTCTGATGCAAATTACAATATGTTTTTCTATTAGTTTGAAAACAGAAAGGGAAGTGTAGGTTAGAGTTAATATATTCAATATTGAATCAGAAAAAGTAGAAGTGGCTGAAACAATGACGGTGATGATTCATATCTATGTACTTGATGTGTTCCTTATGTATGTTCGAAAAGCAAAAGGAAATTTTACAATGTACAAACGGAGATATTATAGAAACAGTACTTTGGAAGACAGCATGGAAATAATGATACTGTTTCTTGGAAATTTACACAGAAATTGTGATGTGTGTATTAGAAAATGGAAAAGTACTTGGAAATAGCTATATACACCTGTAAGGGTGTGTCTTGGAAAGATGGTTGAATTCCATTGTTCCTCGGTGAGAAGTGCTGGAATATATATATACTGGAGACAATTATATTATTGAATGTATGCATTTTCTTTTTTTACAAAAGACTGATAGACTACAAGTATATGTATTGTGAGATTATTGACAGCAAACTAATGAGAAAAGTGATTCCTATATTGATCATCCACAAGATAATTATAACATCAGATGTTATTGAGATCAACTATTCTAATTCTAAGCTGTTTGAAAATTTAATTTGAATTTTATATTGTGACAAATTTTTGAAAAGTAAAGTGATGGTTTTATGTCAGACTGTGGATTTTTCCAACATTTTACCTGTAATAATGCCTGTTTACATAAACCGCTGTACGAATGGCAATAATGAGGGTTTTAATGTTAAAGGAATTCTTTAAGACAGCTGGTAAATCTGTAATGTTCATGATCTGTTAAAGATCCATTAGGTAGAACTGTTATAAAGTAACCATAATATTTTGTTCCCGATCAACACTGTCCTGGATATATACATTGTATAATGTACTGATATTTTGTAAAACTGATGGCAACACAATTGTCAGGTACAACTCACTCTGGGGGAAAATATGATTATAAAAAAAAGACAAGCTATATCCCATTGAATTGAAGACGTGCTTAATGCAGTCTGAAAGCTCTGATGAATTTATAAAAGAAGTAATAATGATTATGTAAAAGATCAAAAGAGCTTTTGATTAATGACAAGAGAAAAGGGGGTATAAAGACCAGGATATTGATTCTAGAAAAAGGTATCATTTATAATAGATGGTGTATTTGCCAAACATGAAGTAATTATGTGATCGCAATGGACTAAAAATGTTTTCATGAATGTTTGGTACAGATATATTTATATAGATCTTTAAAAAAGATGCTAGTTTGAGATGTTGTTAGATTTAATTTTATTTTCTAGACCCTGAGGATGAGCCTGAACCAGAGGTTGAAGAACAGGAACCTGAGCCTGAACCAGAGGTGGAGCAGGACCCAGAAACTGTGCTCCATGACTACGAAACTGTTCCTCCATATGTTAACCCTCAGGATGAGGAGGAGCAGGAGGTTGCTGCAGAAGTAGAGCCAGAACCAGAACCGGAACTGGCACCAGAACCAGAGCCAGAACCAGAACCAGAGGTCAGCGTGACCCCGGCGGTGGTCAGTGATGTGGTGGAGGATACTCCTGTGAAGTTTTACCCACGTTTGTGTCACATGGCAAAGTGGCCTGATTTTGTCGGCTATGGTTTTAACTTGCATGCAGAAAGAGATCGTACTGGTCAGTTTATTGGCACAGTGGATGATGCCTCACCAGCTCAGACGGCTGGCCTTAAGGAAGGGGATCGGATTATCGAAGTCAATGGATCTAACATTGAGTCTGACTCTCACCAGGAGGTCATTCGCAAGGTGAAAGCTGGCGGGGATGAGACACAGTTATTAGTGGTGGACACCGAGACAGATGAGTACTACAAATCTCGAGGAATTCGGGTTCACAATGGTCTGGAAGAGGTCCGTTATAAGAAGTCTGATCGCAGCGGTAAGATTTCTCTTTAAGTATTTTTAGGCCTGTTTGAAACTTTTGGAAAAGACAAATTTCATCTATTATTGTTTTTATATTGTTTTGATAGAATATACCATTCTTTGGATGGTTGGGTAGTGCAGTGGTAATGCACTTGCCTTTTACCTAGCCATCTGGGGTTCGATTCCCGTAATGGATGTGAAAAGGTATGGGGTCACCTGCCCGACCACGTGGATTTTCCATGGGTACTCTGGTTTCCTCCCACAATAAGACCATACTCTGTATACAAGTATTAGTTCTTATAAGATATCCTGTACCCTGTATATGAGTAGTAGATTATAAAGATCCAACCAGTTAAGAAATAATTGGAAATAAAACAAACATTCTTGTCACATCTCACCTCTGAGTATTCTGGCCTTTTGTCTTTAATTTTTTCTCATGGTTTTCTTACATTGATGTGAAAGCCACTATATTGATGTAACCTGATTCAGCCTGTTAAGTCCGACACTCTATCTAATATGACTTGTGTGTTGTCTTTTTTGTCAGGTTTCACATAAATAGTCATTAATCAAGGAAATTCTCTTTTGTGTTTGTAGAAGTTCAAGAAAACAAGGAGAACCAGGTCCCCAGCATGAACTCGGACAGTGGAGTCACTGCCAGGTTATGTCACATTAAAAAATGGCCTCATTTTCAGGGCTATGGTTTTAATTTACATGCAGAAAAGAACAAAAGTCATGGACAATTTATTGGTAAAATAGATGATGGATCTCCAGCGGAAAATGCAGGATTAAAAGAGGGAGATAGAATTGTGGAAGTGAACGGAGCAAATGTAGAAGTTGAATCCCACCAAGCAGTGATAGGGTATATAAAGGCTGGTGGTAACGAAACAAGACTGCTCGTGGTAGATTCTGCAGCGGATCAGTCTTTTAAATCCCGAGGAATAAAGATTAGTGGTTCCATGTCGCAGCTCCAGTACATCAAGACGGAAGACAGAGGTAAGAATTTACTGATAAATATTAATCAAATTAAAATTCAAAATTGAAAAATGAAAACAACAGATAGAAATGTACTTATTTTTACAAAAGATATGTTCATAATTTTCCTGTTGAATTGTGGAAGTTAAAACCATTTGAAAAGTAAATACTTATGTGATGTATGCTGGTACATATATAAAAGTTTGAAAAGGGGAAAAACAGCATAAATGTGTGTAGACATTTCAAAATCACATGTTAGGAAACATTAGTATCATTGTTAGTTTAATAGGGACACAAAAGTTATATGACAAGTACATATTTCATTGTTACCAATCGCACGACTCATTGAATATGGACGTAAATTGAAAACCTCTTGTATTCATGCTGGTGGAAATATTGGAAGTATTAACTTATATTGAAACTTCAATATATACTCTATATGTTTACTGTAGGTATATCAGGAATGTTGCCTACATGTGATGTAGGTATATCAGGAATGTTGCCTACATGTGATGTAGGTATATGAGGAATATTGCCTATATATGATGTAGGTATACTGTAGGTATGTCAGGAATGTTGCCTATGTGTGATGTAGGTATATGAGGAATATTGCCTATATATGATGTAGGTATACTGTAGGTATGTCAGGAATGTTGCCTACATGTGATGTAGGTATATGAAGAATGTTGCCTATATATGATGTAGGTATACTGTAGGTATTTCAGGAATGTTGCCTACGTGTGATGTAGGTATATGAGGAATGTTGCCTATATATGATGTAGGTATACTGTAGGTATATCAGGAATGTTGTCTATATGTGATGTAGGTATACTGTAGATATATCAGGAATGTTGCCTATATGTGATGTAGGTATACTGTAGGTATATCAGGAATGTTGCCTTTATATGATATAGGTATACTGTAGGTATATGAGGAATGTTGCCTTTTTATGATGTAGATATAACAGGAATGTTGCCTATATGTGATGTAGGTATACTGTAGGTATATGAGGAATGTTGCCTATATATGATGTAGATATATCAGGAATGTTGCCTATATGTGATGTAGGTATACTGTAGGTATATCAGGAATGTTGCCTACATGTGATGTAGGTATACTGTAGGTATATGAGGAATGTTGCCTATATATGATGTAGATATACTGTAGGTATATCAGGAATGTTGCCTACATGTGATGTAGGTATACTGTAGGTATATGAGGAATGTTGCCTATAAATGATGTAGATATATCAGGAATGTTGCCTACATGTGATGTAGGTATACTGTAGGTATATCAGGAATGTTGCCTGTATATGATGTAGATATATCAGGAATGTTGCCTATTTATGATGTAGGCACTGCTTATTGATTGGTTAGAATGGATCAAGTGTAGATGCCTTATATTCATGTACAACAAATATAACAGTGCATTGTATGAACAATACATAACTCTCCACACCTTGGCTTTAGCCTGTGTGTTTATCTGCTCAGTCATGTGCGACAGGCACTTACTCGCTATATATAGCTCATTATAATGGTCAGTTGGGGAGTGTTTAATTTGCTAGCTCAATGTCTGTGCATATGAATTTAGTTTCTCTAGTTCTAAATGAAGATGATTTAAGCCCTGGGGCTGTCACTTTAAAAGGCTGTGGGACAGGTAATACACATTGTGTAGCAATGTTAAAGGTCAACAGGTACATTACCTGTGTCCAGGTCAGACAGATGTACGATAAAGTTATATAAGTTTTTAAGTGTTGACCTATCTGACACAATGAAGCAGACAAACAATGGCCACCTTATATGTTAAGATAACATCTCTCTTAACTGATGTTTATATGATGTATACATGTGTTGTTTTATAAGCAATCTTACCTCAGAAAATTTGTGATTCTCTTCTTATAAAATCAACCATTTACACAAGGGTAAAGTGAAATGATAAACGTAATATCTGCAAAATTGAAAACATGAATTGACGCAAAATGCTTGATATATCGTTAACAAGATGAAATATAAAGTAATTGACCGTCACCTGAATGATGGCGTATGTATGTTAAAAAAAAAGAGACAAAAAAGTTAATTTGTCACCATAATTGTATCGAAGATTGAGTGAAATGACAGTTGTTAGTGACCACTTATGAGAAAAATGAAGGACAGTGAGAAAACAATAGTGAATACATATACATGTAGTTTGAGGAAGCTATATACTTCTAGAGTTATTATGTATGTAAGTAAGATATACCTGGAAGATCTGATGAGGATGACTCAATATACCTTGATAAGTATATATATATACACATATGTATATTTTTCCAGTCATACATTAACATAGGCATAACCAATCAGGTACAAGGTCAGAAATCTTTGTTCATGTAACATTGATTGGCCATCTTTAAGGTATAGATGATCGTGAACATTGGTGTAGCCCGGGGCGAGACACCAACTCGAGGAACAATAGACTTGATGTCTGTCTGCTGTAATATATACATATAACACACACTGTCATCGTCACATAGTGGTCTCATTACATTGGTAGAATTGGACCTAACATTTACACTAATCATCCATATATTGTCAGATGTGTGGGAAATCAGATATATCATATACATTTAGATTTTGTATAGGGAGGAATAAGGTTTGATAAATTCCACTTTTATGTGTACCACAGCTGTCTCTTTTTCAAAAATGAAAATAGATGTTTTTTATTAAAAATGACATTGACTTGTTGGCTTAAAAAGTAAACAAGATGAATGGTTGTAGCTGGGATGTATACGTCCCTGGTTGTAGTGTTTGATGAAGAACTTTGTCTGATACAGAGACCAGTTTGGACATTACTGTAATTATTCAATCATACCAATATCAAAATTCAAACCAACAATCTTGAAATTGTTTTTGAATGTTTATGATTTATAATGACGTGTCTGTCAACAACTTTTGTAAGTTTGATCCACGATATCATCACAACTTGAAATGTCCGTGATGTTCATACCGTATTTCACATGATTAATGATAGCCAAATATCAGGATCATGTAATTACAGAAAAAATGTAACGGTTTCCTAATGAGGTGATCCAGTAGATAAACAACTGCTGCAAAAATTACCGAGTGGTCTCATTTTTATTCCATCTGACTATCTGTTACCAGGTCAACTGAAAACTTATGTTTCCTATGTATCTTGAAACTGATTTAGTGTACAAAAACACATGATTGTCATTGATATATGACTTGCGTAAGCAAAAAAAATTTTGCTTTTAATGGGAAAAATGACTGCTTATAACAGAATTACTCAAACATGCAATACTTTTTTACTTAATTATTCTGTGATTTTGTCCTAGTCTGTACCATTTAGTACATATTTGGAATGTGCTTATGACTTACCAGACTGTGACTATCAGTGTAATTAAGTCTTCACTGAAACAGGTTTCTCAAGTTGTATGTATGTGTCACAACTATGGGCCAGTGTTCAAAACTAGATACCCAGTACATTCACAGTAATGATGGATTCAGCAACACTTCATAATATATATAACCTTATTTACATGTATTTTGTTTTGTTTTTTAACGACTTGAAGAATGCGTGAGGGTTGCATTCACAGGATAAAATGAAAGGGATGAAGTGTAATGTGTGAATCTTAACCATTGATTAGCATTAATTTTCTTTCAAAATGAACATTGTTCTAGAATTATCAGTTTATTTGTCTAGATTATCTACATGTAGATGGAATTTGACCTGTAATCATAGATATCAGCATGTCTCACCTTGAAGCTACAATATAGCTGAAATTCAAGTTTAATACATCATTATGTACATGAATGGAAGTGCTGCAATGTTATCGTGATCCTTGATTACTGTCATGACCTTATGTCTAGGTCAAAAGGTCAAACAATCATTAAGTGCTAAATTTTTAGTGAACAGATTAAGGTTAAAGGTTGTATATTGAATCATCAATTAACATATATCAAAAAAATCTTGTCAACTCAATCAAAGATTAAAATTTAGGAGAGAAATAAAACAAGCTGAATCAGTAATTAATTTCTGAAATTGTTTTTTATTTCTCACTAATTTAATCCATCACAATGCTGATTGGCTATGACAAATAAGGGCTTGAATATAACATTAAGCTGTCTTGAACAATTGGAAATGACTTGGAAAATGATAAAAAATATTTCAATTTTTACCTGTAATTAATTTAAATAAAACTTTTGATCAGTTTTAGACATTAGAATGAATGATACTGATTTTAGACACCATTTCAGTCTTGTTTTATATATATATATATATATATATTAATATATAAAGCAATATAAAACCCCATGTCTTTGAAAATTTGAATTGTCTAAAAAAATTACTTAAATGTTGGTGTGATTGGTACATAAGTATTATACAGGTGTAACATTTTGTAGGTATGCATATACATGTAGGCTAGAATAGGTGTGGCGAGTCTTATCAGGTAGACTGTTTATTACCTGGTATATGTCAAACAGATAATGGTTCACTGTATAACAACTGAGACATGGAACTGGAGAGGTTTCTGATTAGGTTAGCAATAGTCAGTTTATTCTATAATCCTATACATCCACAAGTATAATCCTCCAAAGATCTTGATATGAAGGATTTAGGAGGGGCCATACTAGCTCTGTTAGTACATTATAGACCATCAGACTATACAACCTCATGTGAAAGTCTGAGGTGTGTGGTTCGATCCCTACTGAGGACAGTTTGTGTATTTATAAGAAGCTGAAATCACAGATTGTCGTGGGGAAGACACTACCCTCATTGCTCTTTAGTTAGTTAGTTAGTTAATAAGTTAAATAGTTAGTTAGTTAGTTAGTTCATTAGTTAGTTAGTTAGTTTCAGGTTTTCCATTTCTGCAACTCCTATTGCCAGGTATCATCTCACCGACAAACATCCATGATAGGGCAACGTGTAGTGGTGGGATTCGTAGGGCCTCTCATAGGGTGTTCAGCTAAGTATCTACCAGCTATCACAGGGAGAGTCTGCCCAGCTGGCTTTAACAGTTAAACAGATATAGTCGAGTGACCATTATAATCTGATAAAATCAAACTTTTAGGTTCACTTCAAAATCAGTATACAAGTCATGTCAGAATTCATATAGATTAGAATATAACAGAAAAGTCTTTCCAGTCTTTCCTCAATATAAAATAGACACATTAATTTTATAAATGAGATAATTGTGAAGCATCATTAATTATGACATTATAATAGTGTTATTACATGTGTGTCTTACGATGGCTTATGACAGGGGCGTGATATTTTACTGAACAGACCAGTTACATGTGATAAAATACATATGATGCAAAGTCTTCATCCTGAGCTGTCATGCATACATCATATTAAGATTAGAGAAGAGACACACGTCATATTATTAGATTGTTTTTGACAACCTGTTTAACACTAACAAGGATTTTTACTCTACAATAATTCTATCTATGGCTGATTTGGACTTCTTCTTGTTACAGGGGCTCCAGTCAATGGACAAGCAGAAGTCGTAAGTATTCTTTAGAAAATTATAAACATGTAGACTAGTATATGGCTAAAAGATGTTGACTGAATGGTTTTCAAAGTTGATTACAGTACGCATATCAAATTTGTTCAGGAAAAAAAAAGATGAAAGAGATTTCCTTTTTTTAATCTTTTTAAGAAATACAGAGCTGAATCGGATCAGAATCCTGATACTAATATATTGCCTCGTGAAAATCAATACCAAAGCCATTTAGCTTGGCTTGATGAGAACTTTTATGCCCTGTTTTTTTAATACATGAAAAAAATTCATTTTTTTTATTACCAAATGTTACAGTCTTTAACTAATAGTCTTTGATCACACTTTATCAAATATCTGTTTCAAGCTAATGCACATTGTACCAAATTTAATCAATTCTGCTTTACAGTTTTACAATTCTGAATTTTGACCTATGACTCATTGACCTTTTGACTTGTGTAATTAATCTATGCAATATTTAATTACAGTCTCAGCCTCAACGCCAAATGGCTCCTACTCCAGCAGTAAACTCTGCTCCGCCTCAGACAAATGGCAAACCTGCTGACCTGTCCCAGGGGCTCCAAATGTCCGCCAAAGAAATGAGAGAGATGCTTGCTCGTAAGAAGAAGGCCGATCCAAAACACAACAAGATGTCTTTCCAGTCCAAACTTGAGGCCTTCCAGAAAATGTGATTGTTGTAGCAACAGTCTATATCTGGGATGTACAGAACACCTCTGTGGGCTGTACAGAACACCTCAGTAAACTCTAGAGGTGGGAAATATGTTAGAATGATGTTTCATATGTTAGAATGAAGTTTCATAAGTATACAGATACATTTGAATTATATTCGTGCATCTGGTAAAGGTCGTCCATATAGATTTATTCATGTAAAGAGTCGAGGTGGACTTGAAATAGAGATACAGTGATGTTTCTGATGTAGGTTGATAGTACAGACATACCTATGTATCATGAGAATTACGGTCTTACAGATGTATACATAGAACAGAGATTCCAGTTTGTTTTTTTCTCTAACTATGATAGGTTATATCTATTAGGTGAAGATTATGAATATCTGTATGAATGTGGGTAAGAGCTCTTTGTATGACTGCTACATTATATAAGTTCCTCTATGGCCAATGTTCTGAGTGTTGTAAACACACTCTAATCTAGTATTTTCATGAACTGCTGGATTGACTTTTGGTCAAGCTGAGCTGAAGCCTGGCGTATATATAAACATGGTTGACCCTCTTGAATTATTAGACGAATCCCAAATGAAATACCGCATTTTGCTACATTGAAGTCTACATTGATCATCATTTTGCAGTTTCTTGTACTCAGGACCAAGAATGTTAATACTGTGTGTTATTCATGTTTAATTTCCTAAATTTTGTAAGTTGGTAGATCCATGTCCTATCTCCATTCAACAGGAAAAGTAAGTCCAGTCGCCTCCTATAGAATCCATGTACATTTATTTTGTTCTTGTTGATTAACAAAATAGCATTTCTGAAAGTACAAGAAATAGGATTCCAAACTAAAATATCAAACTTCACCTTACACCTTAAACTAGTGATGTTCTGTTTAATTGACCTCGTCAAGTATTTGTTGGTTACACCTATTAGATAATAATTGAATACATTGCTTGTCAGTAAAATAAAAAGTGGCATTCACGTTTTCTATCTTTCGCAGAAAAGTCTTGAATCTCGATCATGTCAATGAACATTACGAAGTGATTAAGTATCTGGTTTAATGAGACAAGTCATCATAAATAGACAGATCTTATCACAGTAGTGTAGTGTATTCTTCATGATATTGCGACAAAAAAGTGTTAAGTACAAGGACTACAATTTTTAAATTCTTTATTTCTGCATGATGTTATCAATTTATCATTGCAGAAATGAGATGTATGTCTTTCCTTTAATTGGTGATTAGTCAATAATTGATTTGTTCACATGATCTAATGATCGATCATGAAATCACAACTTAACACTATGTTAAACAACACAGTGGAAGAATATAACAACACAATGCTGATTTATCCTCCTTGTTAATGCCAGAACATTTTTGTATGGCAAAACATCTTTTTTTTTTCTTTGGTTTATTTAATTTTTTGGAGTTCTGTAGGAATCCAATATGTTTTGAATGAGATTTAAGTCAAACAAGATTTGGTAATAATTATTCTACGGGTAACTTAGGCAGTATAACTTTCGATATCAAGTGTCTTTTCGGTCATTAGAATGCGACTAAGATGGGAATTGGATCTATCTGTTACTGTAATGGATGCTTGCTTTACATTCATTGAATGAGAATTCATGCTACCTTTATGTATGGACCAAGTTATTGATCATGACCTGGTGAGTTGTCAGAACCAAACTCGAGTACATTCCATCTTTGTAATGGGAACAGTAAAAGAACAACAGCATTTGTGAACCATTTAAAACACTAGCATTTCATCTATAATATATATTAAATGACCAACGGTGTATTTTCTATTCCATAACATGTTGAAATTTCATTAATTATACAAATTAAAAATTATTCTTGACCATGCATCTCATTAATCTGTAAACTGCAGTCAGGCAAATCTGGAGAAAGATGTGGTAATGTAGTCTGGTTAAGGATTTGTTCAGAATAGCGCCATTTGCTTAATAAAGAAAAAGATGGGAAAAAAAGAGAGGAAAGAAAAGAATGGAAAAATAGCAATGCTCACTTTATTAATGCCAAATACAAGATTGTCATGTAGTATATATATATATAATTATGTAGTTCACATGCTTAAAACTTATTCTTGTGAAAAGATAATTGAAAGTGTCTCAGTGTTTACCTTGGTTGATAATACATGTGTAAGTGTTTGTGATGATCTTTAAGGCTGTTCGCTCATGATTGATGAAGTATTACTGTCGGTGATTGCGGCGTTTTTGTGATAACATTTTAAATCGTGGTTAGTGAGAAATATATCGGAAAGGAGAAAAACTGGATATTTAGTATCCTTATTTACATTGTCCTTATGTTCATTGATGAGATGTTAGATTGCCAGAATATGACATTTTTACTCTGTATTTGGTTTAAATGACTGATACGTCTTTTTTCACAGTTCAGACATTCTTGTAACCAAAATAATTAACGACTGCCCGTTGTTCGTAACTGTAATGTTTATCAATGTTGATGCATTCGTTTGTACATTACTAAGCAACAGGCACTTGTTGAGTCATATTTGGTCATAATGTATTGTTTTTTCAAGATCTTTTTTTTTTAAATCATTGTTAAAGATTGCAAACGTTGTCTCATTTTGTTATCATATTTTGTTAAAGTTTGTGAGTTGTAGTACATCCCACTGTATTTGGCTTATCTCTTTTTAGATATTGTGAAGGAAATTTTTCAACTGCTGCGACTTTTTCATTGCAATATCATCTCTTGAGAGGTCACCACAATACAAAAAAAAAACATTTTAAAATGTCAACAGTAAAGAAATTTTACTTGATTAGCTGTAACATGTGTAAACTTTTTTTTTTTTTTTTAAATTTTTAGCTTCCTAAGATTTTTTAGGATGATGTAGCTGTTTGATAAATCTATGAGATATGAAATGGTTGGTTGTATTTTTTCTCACAATCGGAAAGAGAGATAGAACCACTTACAAATCATGGGCTGATGCTTAATCACTTAACTTCATATTTACTCATGTATAAGTGTATCATTGATAATTATATAGAGATGTTTATCATACTCTGGAGTATTAGTTAGATTTCAATGACCCTCCCCCCCCCCTTCCTCCCCCTCCCACTCACCCACCACACACTTCCCTCTCACTATTCCTAACATTGAATTTGTTTTCACGGATTGGACAGAAATCAAACTTGTAAACACCATTGTTAACTAGCACTTGTACTATATAGCCATTTATTTGCCATAAATCAATTTTTGATCACCAGAAAGAGTTCTGATTGTACTAGTAAAGATTTAGAAAAATTTGTGTTCAGTGATAATGTGTTGATGAAATCTGTTTTTTGCTAGGTTTAGCCATTAGGTATAATCTGTTTTGATAATACATGTATATGAAACATTCCAGATTTATTTGAACCATTCTCTGGTAATTCTTTTCAACCATATACATATTTGAGATGGTTCTACTCATCCCATTGAAAGCTGGATGAATTTCTGTCCAGATATAATTTCTGTCTTTAGTGCTCAAACCCAATTCCTTTGAACCTGGTTTTAGATATACATAAGCAGGGCCAGTATGGTAAAAAGATATTAGTGTGAAGAGTTAAAAGTTGCACGTTTAAAGGTGATGGAATTATGAGAGGGCCTGCCCCGTAAATGTTTTTGCAAAAATGATATCCCTTTTTTATATACGTTTTCCTTTTCATAGAAGGGACCAATTAATCAGAACTTGGACAATCGAGAAGTCTACTTTGCAGGATGTTTGGTTTTGTATGTATACTTTTGGTATTTTACCTGCAAAATCAGTTTGATAAAATATATAGTTCCAGAAAGTTTTAAACATATACTGCAAATGGACTTCACTACTGAACTGTGAAATCAGTTAGACAAACTTAACTTTTACTAACCAAACAAATTGGAGTGTAATGGGGACTAATTTGCCATATGTAGATATTTTTTTGTTACAACCAGGTTTTTTTTTTTATTTAATCGCCACAACTGAATATTACAGCAATAATCATTCAGCTTTATCATCATAATCCCGTATGACTAATATATTGAGGTCTTCACCTGTATATATATATATATATATCTCACAGAAATTTCGTCCAACTAAAATGTGATTATATATTTAACCAGTGGAGGTAATGTTTACTGTCTATAGAAGGTTGTGTGCTCTAGATGTTCATATGTTAAATCTTTAATGTGCTTCAACCCTGCACAAACACTGATGTACTGTATATTTGATCATTTTCAAACAGGATTGATTTATAAAATGATGGCAGACTTGCATATATACAGTATTGTATATGCTTTTCAAAGCAAGAACAAATTTCAACAGGAATTTTTGCAGAAAAAAACTGAGTATCTTGAATATATTGAATCTAAAGACAAGCTTCATCAGCATTCACATTTTATATTTTTCTTTTGGTATTTGGGCAAACTCTGAAAAATTTGAATTCTGGTTTGTGTATGCAGTGTATGATGGATTGTTTACAGGGCTGTATACTGTTACTTTGTGCTCGACATTCTGTGCTTTATATAGACAACTTTTGTTGTCCAGGTTGAAATGGACCAGAGGATTTATCTGGTATATTTATGTACGTAATTCATATTTTTGTACAATTATGTCATTTTAATACTTTAAATTCCTCAAGATCGAAAAGAAAATGAAAGGTGTGGCTTGTGATTTATTTATTCAGAGCCAGAAAAAATGATCTCTGGTTTATCTTTTGTGAACTGGCAGGTTGGACTTTTTCATCCATTATAAATCTTTGGAAAATTGAAAAGGAAAGGTTTTACATTGAAGTGAGGTTTAGATCATAGCTGCTGTGATGGATGTACATAGTAATATATGCGTTATACTGTCTATATATATACAAAGTGTACCGTTATAATCTTGTGTCCAGACACTTGATATATTCCAGGAACAAAATGTTATATTTTGGTACAAATAAACTTAAAAAACAAACACCATATTGCTTGTTTTTTATTCTACTGATAGGAATTGGTCATTGAGTATTGAAGTCATCATTTCAACTGTTTCTGGCTCTAGATGGTCCCTGTCAAGTTCTGGTGAAATTTGTGAAGTAATTTGAAGAAAAACTTGCAAATATGAGAATGATAATGTGTACAAAACAGGAGCAATGAAAAATGTCTTTTCCAGAGGGAAATGTCCTGCCACTATAGGCATTTCCACTAGTGAAGACTTGAGTAAGGTGACCTGTACTCTCAACTTCTACCTACTCATGGGCCAGCTAATATCTGGAATCTGGTCTCTCCCGTTTCTTCATAAGTAATAATACAAACATTAAAATGGAAAATTTTCTTTATTTTATATTATTAAATCAGTGCTACTATTCAAAGTGTAACTTACACATATATCTTAAATCCCAATGGGACACTCACAACATAGGTCACATGGTCAGTTTTGACCTTGACCTTACATTTTGAAACATTAGTACTCCCACTTAGCAAGGGCAAGTTCAGTCATCCATGCCGTTTACTATAGTCCGGCCGGGCTATCTTTTATAGTTTCACATGCCAATAAACGCTAACCAAATGATGACGCAGGTAAAGACCGTGTCTGGTTGCTCTGGTCTGATCAAATGTTGGTCAAGCTATTGTCTAGAAAACTTTTGGTTTTGTTACATATCCGTACCACAAACTACTAAGTTTGTTTGATATTAGTATAGTAAGACTATGGTAACTATAGCTGGTGATCAAACTTGCCTCCGTAACAATTCGCATGTACACATACCACTTAGAAAATAAGTCAGGGACTTTTACATAATCGTATCATCATCAACAGATGCATTATGGATGAAAGGCAATTTAAAACATACACCTCCCAACAATAGTTGGCAAAAGAGTTTGATATCAGTAATTACCACCTTTAATTGGTATATACTAGCAGGTTATTTCACAATTGTCTACCATAAGCTTTGTAAATACATAAGGAATAAAGGTTCTTATTAAAAGGGTTTGAATCCAGGTTTACTAGTCTTGCCCTCTGTATATTGTGGCTAGTTACCATGGTTACACATATCAAATAGTTTCCACTGTTTGGTCCGGACAATTACACTGAAACACCACAAGTTGGCCCAGAGTACATATACCACATATATCCAACAACAAACCTATCCACATATAATAAACCCACCCATATCTATTGCTGTCAATTAAATATTACAAACAAATGCTAATTCATAGACCAGGTATTGAACAAATCACATGTCATCTCATCTGAATGCTTCTGTAAATGTACATTTTTTAGTGGTAACTTATTTTAGCATTTTTCATACTTAGAGTATTTGATATATTGCCTATATAAAGCCACTATTACTGATGTACAGAGTCATCATTATTGTACTAGTCTAGAAACTATCACCCAGCTTTAAGATATTAAGTTCTGCTATAAGCAAAAGTATATAATAAGCTTTGAACCATTAATTAACAGCTTGGCAAATTTTGATTGGCTGATTCTAGAGCACAGAAGCCAATCAGAATACAATCTGATTTTTGAATGAACTAACCATGATTGTACATGTCAGACAGCACCTGGATTTCAGTCATCAGGTAAGAAGACCACAGTTTTATGATGTCTCAAAAAATACTTCCCTAGAAGAGGTGGGACAAATTAGATAAAATTGTTTCCTGAGTGAGGCCAACTGTAACTATCATGTTTTCTCTATTGCACTCTTCCCACTCTGATTTCCTAACATCTCCAATTCTCCTGGCCAGGATGAAAGCACACGATACAATAACTTCTCCTGCTCAGCAACTTCTATCAATTTTTTTAACTTCCATTCCATTTTCCATTTGGTGATGTTGGAGACTCAAGTTACTCATCAAACTTCATAAACTTAGCAACACAATAAGGCAGATTCACCCCCATAGATCGACCTACTACTCTTTCCAATGATACAGGTTATAAAATTTGCGAATCCCACACTTTACTGCTCATCAGTCCATGATACAACACTATGTTATTAAAGGTAAAATTTTAGATATATATTTTAAAAGTAATGCTTTTCATTTTTATAAATACTATTACACAATAACTTGTCCTAAGACTGAAAATTATTACTTTTAAGTTCATAACATACACAGAAATTTTACTTTTTAGTATATGTACCTATTTTTCAAACAATTCAACTTGATTTTTTAATTAATAAATATTATTGAAAGTATGAAATCAGAATTTGTGAAATCTGTTCATCACATTCATGTAGCACTTTTGAAACAAGATTTTCTGGTGCAGGTGCTGTTTATATCTTCAATTCCGTCTTCTTGACCGAAAATCTAGTTGGTCATCAGCAGCTTGTGGAAGCATCTCCTCTCCTGTCCTCTGCACTAGTTTGGCCTGCACGAAATGACAATCACCTTCAGGCACCATCTGATCTCCGAGAAATATCCCCATCCTTCATGCATAAGCTAGTTATAGGATGAAGGAAGTACTTGTAATGCAGGTATATGTATCATCAAGACTGTTTGGTACTAAAAAGTTTTCCTGTCACAGGGCAGACATGTTTGTTTTTTGCACAATGTACATGTGTCACAACTCCATTTGGATAACGCACAAAAGAAGTGTCACCAAAAGCCCGATTACACATCGCACACATCCTGAAATACAGAAGAAAAAATGATAATGCATTATAAATGAGATCACAGATACTATCAAACATTTTAAAACACTGCCAACACTTAGGTACACAATGACTTTCACAACTTCTTTCCTGGTATCAGCAATATCAATGGATTGTCTGGAATTGTAAGGCTTTAGTAGAAGAGCAAATTTGATGATGTCTAATACGGTAAAGAAAAAGAAAAAACAAAAAATTTCAGGGAACAAGATTAAATTGACAAACTCTTGGAGGCTATGATAACGCATTCGGTAGAGCATTTGTATACAAGGCCTCAGATGTGTGATTTGACCTTCCCTTCTCATGGCAGTTAGTGTTTCTCAAGAAGCTGAAACAGACCAGTCTGTAATGTCATAATTTTATTGCTCTGGATGGCAAGCAACGAGCCTTCTGTATGTTGTTCGGTGAGACAATCACCAGCTCCAGGTATCTTATTACTCTTATTTGCTGTGTTTAATTGCCCTGTGGAAAGCCACCATCATTTGGAGAAAGGTTTCCTTGTAGAACCCCTAATCCAACATCATGGAATTGGCAAAGTGACAGAATAAGATTGTCAATGTGACAGAATAAGATTGTCGATGTGACAGAATAAGATCGTCAAAGTGACAGAATACGATCGTCAAAGTGACAGAATAAGATCGTCAATGTGACAGAATAAGATTGTCGATGTGACAGAATAAGATCGTCAAAGTGACAGAATACGATCGTCAAAGTGACAGAATAAGATCGTCGATGTGACAGAATAAGATGGTCAATGTGACAGAATAAGATCGTCAAAGTGACAAAATAAGATGGTCAATTTGACAGAATAAGATTGTCGATGTGACAGAATAAGATCGTCAAAGTGACAGAATAAGATCGTCAATGTGACAGAATAAGATCGTCAAAGTGACAGAATACGATCGTCAAAGTGACAAAATAAGATCGTCGATGTGACAGAATAAGATGGTCAATGTGACAGAATAAGATGGTCAATGTGACAGAATAAGATGGTCAATGTGACAGAATAAGATCGTCAATGTGACAGAATAAGATCGTCAATGTGACAGAATAAGATCGTCGATGTGACAGAATAAGATCGTCAAAGTGACAGAATACGATCGTCAAAGTGACAGAATAAGATTGTCGATGTGACAGAATAAGATGGTCAATGTGACAGAAGATCGTCAATGTGACAGAATAAGATCGTCAATGTGACAGAATAAGATCGTCGATGTGACAAAAAATCGTCGATGTGAAAAAATAAATACACATCGTCAAAAATTAAAAATCGTCAAAGTACTGGTAAGATCGTGACTTTACATATCTATCAAAGCATACCTGACAGTGCATAGATCGTCGATGTGCACTCGTCGATCACAGCTCTAAGATCGTCGATTTTGAATAAGATCGTCGATGTGACAGAATAAGATCGTCAATGTGACAGAATAAGAACGTCGATGTGACAGAATAAGATCGTCAAAGTGACAGAATACGATCGTCAAAGTGACAGAATAAGATTGTCGATGTGACAGAATAAGATGGTCAATGTGACAGAAGATCGTCAATGTCCAACAGGATCGTCAATGTGAAGAATATAAGATCGTCGATGTGAAAGAATAGATAAAAGTCAAAGTGATTGATATATGGTCAATTTTCAACAAAATCGTTATGACTAAAAATAAGATCGTCGATGTGACAAATAAGATTGTCGATGTAATGATTGTCGATGTCCATGTAAGATCGTCGATGTGACAGAATAAGATCGTCGATGTGACAGAATAAGATCGTCGATGTGACAGAATAAGATCGTCGATGTGACAGAATAAGAATAAGATCGTCGATGTGACAGAATAAGATCGTCGATGTGACAGAATAAGATCGTCGATGTGACAGAATAAGATCGTCAATGTGACAGAAAGTATTCCAAGATGTCTAGAATAACATGCTGATTTGTAGAAATACAGTTATATTTTTACAATAATATCTCAAGAACGATTGTTTTTTTAAATGTAAGAAAACACAGAATACAGTATTTTTCTTTCTTTTTTTGCAAGTATTTAACTAAAGTCAGAGAGACAGCGATATATCATCCAATTATAATATACTGAAATGTAAAAAAAAATTCTTAAAAAACATAAATACACATCACAAAAATTAAAAATCAAAATATCCCCTGGTAAGTCTGCCTTTACATATCTATCAAAGCATACCTGTCAGTGCATACATGCACTTGTCACAGCTCTCTTGCATTTTTGTTGAAGTTATTGACGGATATTAAATTTCATAGCACAAAAGGTAAAGTATTTATAGAGAGGTATCTATTCAGAAAAAAATCTGTTTGTCCTACTTACAAAGAAACCAGCTTTGTAGGCAAGATTTCCTACAGATTTTAAAATTTATTTTCTTCATTTTGTCCAACAGGATAGTTAAATAAGAATATATTATCTTTTAAAGATTAGATAAAAGTAAAAGTATTGATATATTTTTCATTTTCAACAAAATGCAGTGTATACTAAAAATTACTAATATTCCTAAATAAGAGATGTAATGTGCTGTCCATGTATGCTTGGTGACATATTTCTAATAAATCAAAAACTTCCATTGTCTCATTATATCCAGCCAGTGTTTAGGGGACAGATTGTCTCACTACACAGCCAGTGTTTTAGGGGACAGATTGTCTCACTATTCAGCCAGTATTTTAGAGGACAGATTGTCTCACTATTCAGCCAGTGTTTTAGGGGACAGATTGTCTCACTATTCAGCCAGTATTTTAGAGGACAGATTGTCTCACTATTCAGCCAGTGTTTTAGGGGACAGATTGTCGCATTACCTAACCAATGTTTAGGGGACAAATTGTCTCACTACACAGCCAGTGTTATAGGGGACAGATTGTCTCACTATTCAGCCAGTGTATAGGGGACAGATTGTCTCACTATCCAGCCAGTGTTTAGGGGACAGATTGTCTCACTATCCAGCCAGTGTTTAGGGGACAGATTGTCTCACTATCCAGCCAGTGTTTAGGGGACAGATTGTCTCACTATACAGCCAGTGTTTAGGGGACAGATTGTCTCACTACACAGTCAGTGTTTTAGGGGACAGATTGTCTTACTATACAGCCAGTGTTTAGGGGACAGATTGTCTCACTACACAGCCAGTGTTTAGGGGACAGATTGTCTCACTACACAGCCAGTGTTTTAGGGGACAGATTGTCTCACTATCCAGCCAGTGTTTAGGGGACAGATTGTCTCACTACACAGCCAGTGTTTTAGGGGACAGATTGTCTCACTACACAGCCAGTATTTTAGGGGACAGATTGTCTCACTACACAGCCAGTGTTTAGGGGACAGATTGTCTCACTACACAGCCAGTGTTTTAGGGGACAGATTGTCTCACTATTCAGCCAGTGTTTTAGGGGACAGATTGTCTCACTATCCAGCCAGTGTTTAGGGGACAGATTGTCTCACTACACAGCCAGTGTTTAGAGGACAGATTGTCTCACTACACAGCCAGTGTTTAGGGGACAGATTGTCTCACTATCCAGCCAGTGTTTTAGAGGACAGATTGTCTCACTACACAGCCAGTGTTTAGGGGACAGATTGTCTCACTATCCAGCCAGTGTTTTAGGGGACAGATTGTCTCACTATTCAGCCAGTGTTTTAGAGGACAGATTGTCTCACTACACAGCCAGTGTTATAGGGGACAGATTGTCTCACTATTCAGCCAGTGTTTAGGGGACAGATTGTCTCACTACACAGCCAGTGTTTAGGGGACAGATTGTCTCACTACACAGCCAGTGTTTAGGGGACAGATTGTCTCACTATCCAGCCAGTGTTTAGGGGACAGATTGTCTCACTATCCAGCCAGTGTTTAGGGGACAGATTGTCTCACTACACAGCCAGTGTTTAGGGGACAGATTGTCTCACTACACAGCCAGTGTTTTAGGGGACAGATTGTCTCACTATCCAGCCAGTGTTTAGGGTACAGATTGTCTCACTATTCAGCCAGTGATAGCTGTCCCATATCTGTTCAGAGTTTCTGACCTGATAAACCCATCAAGCCGTCTCCCAATCCAGCTACCACATGATAATTACTGCTATGACTAATGAATATCTACTATAGTCATTTGGTCCCCCAGACACATCCCCAGACTTATAGTGAGAGATATTCAGAAAAAGATAATGTTTGTCCCACTTACAAAGAAACCAGCATTACAAGCAAGATTTCCTAGATTTCAAAATTTCTTGATTTTGTGCAACAGGATGGTTATATAAGATTACATTATCTTTTAAAGATTACTAGGAAGTAAAGGTATTGATATATTTTTCTTTTGGCCTCCTGGGGTCCTGTTTTAAGCCCATCCCCAGACTTTATGTAAGAGGTATTGTATTTGGCCCCCTCGGGTTCTGTAGTAAAACTATCACCAGACTTGAAGCCAGAGGTAATGTATCATGCCCCCTCAGGGTTTTCAGGGTTCTATTATAAGGTCATCCCCAGGCTTTAAGATATGATATTGGCTTATTGCTGGAGAAAAATTTCTATGAAATGACAAATCCTAAGTTACCTTGATATATGAAAAGTGTAGACTTAATTCAGGATCACTGTCTGCTTAGATCACATAATAAATTCTCTGTAGCTTAAGTTATGATCATGTAAACACAAATGCCGAAATAAATACATTTCTACAAAATGTAAAGTCATAAACTCGTTAAATCTATTTCCTTCTAAACTCATTAATTTATTCGCTGATGGGTTTATGACTAACTAATTAATTACTTTCCTTGACTCGAATCACTTTATGGTAATCAGCAACAGTCTGTTCGTTCACCAGGATACACTATCATCAATTACAATAGACACTCTACTTCAAATACCGTACTCAACCAAATAAACACACCAGTCACTATAAACACACTCTCCCCACTTATCTCAGGAAAAAATTATTGATTAGCTCTTAGTAGACAATAAGCCCATGTCTGATAATAAGCCCATTCATACTTA